GCAATCATGAAGAAGAAAGCCAGTGGTCGAATTTTCTTGGGTTGTGATAACCATCCTTTGTCAAGGTAACTAATTAACTATGCTTTCTTTCTAACTTTGAAGATATTTCAAACATTCGACATCTTCACATGTTTGACTTGGCACATTCTTCTCAGGCAAGAGGTGATGGACATGATGGCTCAAAGTGGAAAATTTGATAAGAAGGTCAAAGGTTTCACGAGTGAGTTTCTTCGGACATTGACATTTGAAAAACTATAAGCTTCATAGAGTCTGATAACTTTGCTTTCTTGTAGGCACTAGTGGTCCTTTAGGGAAGAAGTTGAACAACTCAGACACGAGTGGAGATAAGATGGGAGCCAAAGTATCCAAGCTTTGCTCAGTTTTTGGAGTATCGAAGTAATATTTACTATTGGATTGAGATGATTAAGGAGTGTGCAAACAGAAGAAACCAAGATACTGAAAAAAGCTTAGATAATTTGTTGTAGATAATGCATTTTTTATGTTAACTTGTGTGTAGTCCGCAGGATCAAACAGCTGAAATGTATGTTCACAATTCTTAATAAAGCTCCATGGTTCCGGTTCACTTGTTTTCACCTAGCTATTTCTTTGTGTGCTCTGAGCACCAAAATATGATCCTGTTCCATTGTCAAGGAATCCATTACACCTGATGATCATCGATGTACCATGGGAATTGCTAAATCTATTATAGAAAACTGAAAAGGTTTGATTCTTCCATTTCCATATAAACATTGTAAGCATCAGAGCAGAACAGCTTTGGAATTGGTTCCATGCTCACTAAAATTTGGAATATCTTGAATTGGAATATCTCGAACCAGCCCCATCCGTCTGTTGTTGGTTTTCTTGCACAGTTCCTAAATAAAAGCAACCAAATCATAGTCATAAGTTTACATTTTCCTATGGAAACGAAGCAAACATAAAGAATTTGGAAATAGGGTACCTGATTTCTCATATAAGGGTTTTGGAGTCTGTGCGCTTTGCGGATCTGTTACTGTCCTCAAGCCTGTACATGACTTCTGCAAAACAATGTATTTGGTGACAATTAATCCACCAAGTGAATTCCTCCCTCCTCATATATAACTATGTATTACAGTCGTTTGAGTGTTCACTAATTTTTATACCTGTCCAGATGGAGTACTCCTATTCAATGAGATTTTTGATTGTGTGATGTCTACTTGTGTTGCTTCCACAGTCGGATTGTCATCGATTTCTTGAGAATCTGTGGCATGGAACATGTAACCAATTTCTGATCTAAGGCGATTGCTTCTTTGGGAGTAATAAATTTTGGTAGCCAGAGGAGCAGGAACATCAGCTTGAGCTGAAGAAAAAATTGCATGTACAGACCGAAAAGGTAAGATAGTCGATGATATAGGAACACAAGATTAGTAGTACACAAGCCCAAGAAATTCTGAAATATAAACGGGAAGTGCATCATGATTCATGAGCATAAAGGAACACAGCATACCTTGGTACTGCATATCATTTCCATGAGGATTTTTGTAGTATGTCTGATCAACAACAACGTTATGATTTTGCTTTTCACTATGTGGAAGTGTATACCTTGGAAGATTACCAGCTGGATAAAACATGAAGCGATTTTCAACAAATGAAGAACACAAGAAACAGGATTAGCCTTGATCTAAAGAATGCATGCGAGAAACACCTTTATAAGTAGTTGTAACTGTGCCCTTTGGAATGTTGGAAGAAGAACCATGTTTTTCGCAAGTTTCCGAAGGGATTATACCATCTGCATCCATCAAGTCTCGGCTACTACCTTCTGCAAGTTGGTATAGGTTTTTGTTAAGGATACTGAAAAGGTGCGCAAATAAATTAGCCCGCAGTTGAAAAATATTCTTTTGGTGCATAAACAATGTAACATCTTCAGAGACAAATTTGGACCATTTTTTCTTGTGCATAAATTATAATAGAAAACAATACAGATATAAAATCTGAATCTCTCATTTTTCATTAGTTTTGAAGCCATTAATAAAACTTTTTGTATAGCAAGCATTAGGCGAGAAGACCAAGCAAAAAGAAAGGATACTAGCACCAACTGAGGGACCATTTCCCTTCTGTTTTTTCTGAGGTTTCCTGCCTTCAGTTTTACATTTTAGCTCAACTTTTTCATTCCTCGTACTGCTCAAAATCACACAAATATCTACAAGATCAGACAAAAGAAAGTATTATACTCAACATCGAGAAACTGGGTTGCATATACGACAACAGCTCATCACCTATATAAGGTGACAAGCATCCCGAACCAGTAGGCTACAAAGCTTATTGTCGAATGTAAATGTGTCTTTCTCCTCCAAGCTATGAAATATCTCAAAACTTTACAACTTTCATGAATTATAGTAGTAAGAAGCATTTAACACCTGCATGAGTGGCATAGTGACTTGCTTTGACCGGCTTCTTACAAACCTTGCAATATACCTGGGAAGCAGCTGAAAAAAATCAATCATGATATAGAAGGAAAAATTGTAATTCACCATACTCTGCACTCAACCAAAGATGGTGGAATAACTACTGACAAGAACACATATATCAACAGCAAAACAGACCAAAATACATAAGTTATATTTGAAACATTTAGCATTACCTCAATCAAGATAAATTTGTCTGGGGTATTATATCACATATGTGAAAGACCAAGGTTCTGACTTCTTCCCTATCCTAATGTATTTGTTAATCAATAATCACCCCATGATAAACCATTACACCATCAAATACTCATAGAGCATCACAGATCAACAAATTAAAGGCCTGATGAGATGAAAATGAACCATAATTATGCATCACGTATCAGTAAAAAGAAAAGAAGGTAGAAGTATAATGGCCAGTGCTTCATGTTGTTTAATGGGAAGACTAAATTTGCCAGGAAAAAAAAACGAGCACAGAGAATATGTTATTTAATGGAATAAATTTATCCCCTATAAAAGCAACACGTTACCAAAGAAAAATATACCATGTTCCAGGACTTACCAGGCGTAAAGGATCATCCATAGGCTTCAGACCAAATATATGCATATCTGAAATGAATATAATGAAACCAAAAGATAGGCACAGATTAAAACATTACAAATGGCCTGAAGCCTCCAGTTGCAGTTCATGGTTCCACCTACACTACTTCCTTAGTATTATCTAGCTTCTCTAGTGGTAAACCCATCAAGGAAAATTCGATTTGAAGCTCAAAGAATGCAATCTATATATAATCAGGCAGTACAGTGACAAAATTCCATGAGAGTCTCAGGGTGGTCCTCTGCACTTAAACTAGGAAAATAATACTTAATAATCCGCATATCTTTTATGATATCCCTCATAGCATAGCTTTTAACAGATAG